GGCTATCCTTAAGCTTGAGGTGAAGCCCCCCAGGTCCTATGAGATGCCCTTTCACCTAATCGAGGAGAGAAACTTCTGGGCTTGTTTCCTTTTTAAGGGGATAAAGGATAGTTTTGTCACTCCATGAACAGGGGGACACATTCCTACACCTCCCATCACACCAGCACAGGGGACAGGGACAGCCTGGCAGGGGGAACAGAGCCACCACAACATCCAGAGCCCCTCACGAGGGCTGGGGACAGCTTTGGGGACAGCCCTGTGCTGCTCTGCTGCAGAGTAAACCTTCGTGGGACAGCTGCTGGTTCCGAGCCCAAGTTCAGTGTGCCACTTCAGGGATTTGGGGTGCTTGAATTGTAAGGGGAGATAGCAAACTGGGCGCTTCAACAGGAGAAGAAAAGGGGGAATTGGGCAGCAGCTGGTCAAAGTTATCCATGGATGACCACTCATGGATGCTGGCCCTTGGAAGGATGGTTTGGTGCAAAAAGTGCCCAGAGAAAGCAGCCTGGGAGGTGGAGGTTAAAGGAATTCTGATGTCAGGAAAGGAACAAGTGGGAATGGCTTTAAGCTGATAAAAGGGCAAGTTTGTGTGTGATATTTGGAAGAAATCCTTCCCTGTGAGGGAGGTGAGGCCCTGGCACAGGGTGCCCAGAGAAGCAGTGGCTGCCCCATCCCTGGAAGTGTTCCAGGCCAGGTTGAAGCACCCTGGTCTGATGTTCCATGGCAGGGGGTGGAACAGGACTGTCTGTAACATCCCCTCCAAAGCAAACCATTCTGGGGCTCTGTGAAAAGCTTCTCCCTCCTGAGAAGGCGTCTGCCTCGGCATCCTGTCCCGAGCTGGAAAGCCCAGCAGGGAAGGTTGGGCATGTTCCTGTGGCTACATTGTGATCACTGTGGTGGCAGGGCAGCAACTCCATCCCCGTTTTTCCTCACTGGTTGCAGAATTCCCACTCCTGCCCGGAGCACGGACAATGTTGCCATCTCCTGGTGGCAACTGGATGAGGTTCTATCCTGGAACCTCGCTGCAAACCCTTCTGGCTTCATTCCCTTGCTGGGACTTTATCAAGACAGAAGATCTCTTACCCCCAGCCAGTCTGGATAGTTACTTTGCACATTTTTTTCTATTTGTTTTAATGCACGGAACTACTTGAAATGCAGGCATTAGTTCAAATCACGGATTGCTTGTGTTTATAATGCCATTAATATGAAACATGCAGTCTGTGAACTGTAGGCATGTCATGGACTAATTTTTCCTTGTTGCAGCCTCAAACAGGTAAGGTTTTGACCAGATGTGTCACCTCAGAATCTGGGCAAAAGCCATGAAGTGAAATCTTAATCGTATCCAAAATGTCATCTTTACTCTTCTCTGGGCAGCAGCCTGGCTGGGCTGTGGGGTGACCTGAGCAGAGACACACTTGTCAGAGTCTCCTGTCACCATCCAGGGGTAACTGCATGGTCCTGCTCAGGTGGGGAAACAGCAGGAACCCCCAGGCAGGTGGGGAAGCCAACTGGGATGCTGGAGGACAGGGATGCCCCACTTGCAGCTGCAGCTCCATGCTCCATTCCTGTCACCCCGATTTTGTAAGTTTTTCTAAGCCTTCTGATGTTTACATTCTTGTAAGGAACTTTCTCACACACTTTCTGTAAATAACTTATTGTTTTGTATTATTTTATGGAGAAGAAATTTGATGGACTGTTGGTCTGGCCAGTGTCATTGGAGAGTTGGCACTGTCACCCTCCAATCCACTGTCACTTTTAGAAATCTATAAATGTTGGGGTCAGAAATTAAAAGTGCCTTTTTTACCTTCAGAGAAAGCATGTCCACGTCATGTTATTTCGTGTCCTGTAGTGACACCATTCCTATAGTAGATATTTTCACTCCTGACGAGGGGGAGAGAATGATGCATCTGACTCCATGGGTATCAGAAGGCTAATTAATTAGTTTATCATACCATATTATTCTATTCTATATTACATCTAAACTGAATCTGCCAAGCACTCAACTCCACAGAATCTCATGACTGTCAGCTGACAGTCCTGACTCACACACACATTTGGCCCTGATAAGCCAAGGAAACAAAACACCATCACTTTGGGTAAACAATCTCCATATTGCATTCTACCTTTGCACAAACACGGGCACAGCAAATTCTAAGAATTGTTTCTTCTTTCTCTGAGGTTCCTCACTGCGATTCCCAGAAAATATCCTTGGAAAGTTGTACCTTGCTTTTCTCCGTGAAGAGAAATGCAGCCACAAATTCCTCCCTCCCAAATTATCCCCTCAGTCCTGAAAGGGGCATTTCTTCCTGTAGGATATCCCTCAGGGATGGCAATGAACTGCTTGAGAGTGTGTCTCAAGCAGTCATATTTCTGGAAAAATCCCTACGCCCAGGATTTCTCTCCTAGGAAGCTGAGAAGCCTCAGAGAAAAAGGAAAACATGTTTCTTATCTCACTTGCTTCTCCTGTGTTTTGCTGCTTTGGAATGTGGTTGGAGATTGTCTATCCAACAGGTGATTGTTTCATCGGTTTCATGTGAATTGTTTTGACTGAATGGCCAGCTGGGGCCAAGCTGTGTTGAGGCTCTGGAGGGAGTCACGAGTTTTCATTATTATCTTTTTAGCCTCCTGTCTGTATCCTTCTTTAGTACAGTATTCTTTAAAATAATATAGTATCTTAAAATAATAAATTAGCCTTCTGAGAACATGGAGTCAGATGCATCATTCCTTCCTTCATCTGGGAACCCTGCAAATACAAGAGAGGGATCTCACAGGGATCCCCAATCCCTGCAGATGCCAAACACAGCAGGAATGGTGAGTGATGAACAGGAGACTGGCAAGCAGATTAAGCAGAATGTTTCCTTTTTTTTTTTTCTTTTTTTTTTTATTATTAGACTAGGAAATATAATTTATTAAATAAAAATTAATTTGTTACAATAGGAATGCTAAACTTTATTTACAGTTCTTTAGTTTACAGAATAAACAGACGAGGGTTTAGAGGATGCCACCGGGCCCATCCCCTGAACATATAAATATGGAAACACATTTTGGGGCAAGAGATGGACACTGCCAGACCATGGGGCTGCCTTGGCCAAAATGCCTGGCTGGAGAAACGCCTGGGAGGTGTGGAGGGCTCCTGGGAGCTGGCACCCACGGGAGGTGGAGGCAAACCCTGCATCCCCCCTGCCCTGCTCCTGCTGCAGGTTCCCTGGTCAGAAAAATGGGGAGAAGCTCTCCAAAGATGTACTTCAGCCAAGCCAGGTGGCTGCTGCCTGCCCAAAGGAAGGGGGAGGTGAACAGAGATGGAGGGGGATGGAGAGAGGCACCCGTGGGCAGGATGGACAGACGGACAGACACACATCCCAGCACAGTGATCCATAAACCAGAGAATGGGAGTGAGAGAGATTCCCAGGTGACCTGAAAGAGCATCTCATCCCTCAGAGAACCCTGTGGAACTGAGAAAGGAGCCCTCGAGACCACGGGCAGCTGGATTGATCCACCGAGTCTTTATTGCTCTCCAAATCTGCTTTGTCTTCCTTAGCTCAGAGGGTCTCAGAAATGGTCAAATGCAACCCAAAGGACAGATAAATCCTTTCCCATGTGACACAGGAGCTTTCCCAGCAGCACTTTTCCCATCCAGCACAAGGGGAAAAGATCTATTCTCTCCCACAGCCTTGAAAACCCAGCCAGAAGTGAACCCCAGGGACCCCGAGACACAGCAGGGAGCAGCTCAGAGCTTTCCAGCAGTGCCTCAGGAGCTGCCCACAGGAATGCTGTCATGTCCCAGCAATACTGAAAGCCCCTCCCAAGCTGCCCCGTGCAGGTGATGCTCTCCAGGCTCCCTGAGTGTGCTCCTGTGCCCAGCACTTTGTGGGATGGCACAGGCACTCCAGGGCTCTGCAGCCCAGAGCAGGACATGCTCCTAATACTTCCACTGATGGAGAATCCATAGCCTGGCCGTGTGACCTAGTCTAATCCTGAGCTTACCACCCCCTTCCTATTTTTTTTTTTTAAACAGACAAATTTCTAAGATACAGCACTCAGTGAGTAACTATTTCTACCTGCAGGCAACCTAAATTTTTTACCTTCATCAAGACACCGTATCTGTGTGAGGAACCTCGTTCCTGCCTACCACTTGATTACTTTCCACTCACCCCACAGCTTCTGCATTGTTATAAAAAGCCTATTCCAGGGGAAAAACAGGAGCTGCAGTGAGGGATGGAAACCTGAGCACTGCTCATGATGCTGTCCCTCATGTGAAAACGCTCAGCCTGGTTGGCAGCTTGGGAACACCAGAGTATCCCTCCCTGAATCCGTGCTGAAATACTGCATCAAAATTCAGGCAGGAGTGCAGGGACCTGAGGTGGAGGTGGTTTGAAGTGGCATTGCAGCCCACCAGCCCCTGCTCTCCCCTGACCCCTCCGCACCCACTCATCGCCTCCCTCTGAGCCCCAAGCCCAGATTTGAGGTGCTCACTGCAAAATCCTGCTGGGTTTACAACATCCCCCCCTTTAGCCTCGAGTCCAGAGGTCGGTGCAGGACTGAAATCTTTGGTTTGTACTGAAGTTATGTAAATGAAGGCGTAGTCATCCTAAAAAGCTCCCCCAAACCATGCCAGGGAAGAATTCATTAAAAATACCCACATCTGGATGTACTCTCCCCACCCTGAACCCTAAATATAGGGCAGCATCCCTCATCCCTCCTTGCAGGTGGAGTGGGACCCATCATTCCCACTGCCAGGGAAAAGGGAGTCCTTTTTGCAAGGACAAAAGCCTTGGGAAGTGTCTGAGATGGCCCTGAAGCAGAGGGGTGGAGAGGCACTTCAACCTCTGGACTCCCTGGGGGTCCCAGGACATGTAAACATGTTTTTTCTCAACTTGGATCACACGCTTTTCCCTACAAAAGTTTGTTCATTGAAATCTCTCTCTCTGCCACCCTGACCACAGCAATGCTCTTGCCCTCACACACCAAAAAAAAAAAAAAAAGATTTTTAAATTTTTTTTTTTTTTTTTTTTTTTCTTTTTTTTTTTTTTTTTAAAAAGGACACATCCAAAGATCTGGATAATAAATTATTTGCGTTTCCTAAGAAACTTTTTTTTTTTTTCTTTTTTTTTTTTTCTTTTTTCCTCGTGAAGCTGCCTGAAGCCTTTGACAGAAGTTAAGCCTGGATTGTATTCATCTCTTCAACGCAGAAATGCTATTAAAGGAGGAGGAAGGGAACCCAAAAAGAAAAAGGAAAAGGAAAGCACCCATCCCGACTCGAGAAGCCCTAATTCCTCCCCGTGCCACGAGGAGGAGGAGGAGGAGGAATGCTGTGTAACACTTGGATTGCTTGTAAACGCTGAGGATGGGTCTCTAAGGCTGACAGCGGTGCGGGAGAAGCGCCGGCCGCGGCTCCTCCCCGCTCAGGACGGATGTGCCTCCCCCTGCCGTCGGGGGAGGACCCTTCCTCACCCCCTGTTTCGTCCTCCTGGCCCCCCAGCCGTGGGGAGCACCATCAGCAGTCCCCCTCTGTGGCCATGACCACCAGCATCTCGCTCTTGCCCATCTCCTCTAAGGCACTGGCCAGGGTGTTGAGATCGCCGTCGTCCTGGTGCTCGGCTTCCCACAAGTCCAGGAGCACCCCGGTGGGGCTGGCTTTGGTGGCAAAGTAGTTCAGATACCTGAAAGGGAGAAGCAGGACAGGGTTGGGCTGCTGTGGTGCCCTTTGTGGATGGCGGGAGGGAGGATGCTGGACCTGTTTGGAACACGAACTTGGATGGGAATGCTGTAACGCAAACGCCAAAGCCCTCAGAGACCGTCTGCAGTTTATAGACAGAGCTGGTATTCATGCAAAAGCAATGTCAGCTTTGCTTTGCTGAAATTACCCTTTCTCCCTTTGGTCCTGGGGTGAAACCAGGTGGGAATGGCACAGCCATTGTCCCAGATAAACAAGGGCCATTCATAGTGACAAGAGACACAGGACTGTGGCACAGATGGATGCCAGAATTGTTTGGGTTGAAAGGGACCTTCAAGATCATCTAGTTCCAGCCCCCCTGCCATGGGCAGGGACACCTTCCATTATCCCAGGGTGCTCCAAGCCCTGTCCAACCTGGCCTTGGATGCTTCCAGGGATGGGGCAACCACAGCTTCTCTGGGCACCCTGTGCCAGGGCCTCACCACCCCCAGGGGAAGAATTTCTTCCCAATATCTCGTCTAAACATCTACTCTTTTAAAATTTAAAATCATATCCAAGGATAGAGATGGATATAACTATGCAGAACTATACCCCCATTTATGGATGGACCTATACAGCTGGACACAACCCCACTGGATGTCTACAGCTGACAGAGTGAAGCCTCCCTGCTGGGGGCAAAGGAAGGGAAAGCAAAGCCAGGGGAGACCCACCGGTCCATGGAAAGCTTCTGGGCGAGAAGTCTCCAGTCGTTCCCCCTGGAATTGGGAGCATCCAGGCTGTTGCAGATCTTCTGCCGGATGGAGAGGGGGATTTTGAAGGCGTAGGGTCCCACCTGGGTGGTGCTGGTGGTGGTGGCACCGCTGTGGTGGGAGCGCAGGGTGTCAGAGGAGCTGCCATGCTGGAAGAGAAAGGACAGGGTGAGACGCTGCTGAAATGTCCCAGTGTGTCCCCAGCTGTCCCCCCAGCTCCCATCTGCTCACCTCTCCCAGCGTGACGTGGAGCTGGAAGATCTGCCCTTCCCCTTCCACCTGGCGGACGCAGATCTTGCAGGTGAGCTCGGTGGAGGCCTGGCTGTACCTCTCCAGCGTGAAGGTGCAGTGCAGAGCTCGCTGGCTGCCGCTCCAGATGTGGTAGAAGGGGATTTCCTGTGGGCCACCAAAGCACGGGCTCAGCCAAGGCTCCAGCAGCTCCCACCTCCTCCAGCCACCCCGTGAGGGATGAGGTGGGACAGCAGGACCTTGTGGGAATCCATAAAATCAGAGGGTTTTGGGAAAGCTGCAAAAGGCAGGCCTCAGAGACAGCAGAACTGTGATTAGAGCTAAGCAGTAGCCATAAGATTGGTCAGCAGAAAAATTATGTAAAAAGTGGAAAAGTAAGGACAAATGGGACAATGGTCTGTGTATTAACGCTCATCTAGAATAACTCCCTAAGCTGCAGAAAAGTATATCTAGCGAGATATTAGGAAGTTCTAAGCTTAATAATGGAGCTCTGTGCATTGTGTTTTAAGGTTTACAAACAGGTATTGTATTCAAAATAAGCAAGCATTGTTTTAACCAAAGGTACGTGTGCTTATAGTGGTTGGATGGAACTAGTGTCAATATGCTTTTGCTTTGTGTGATTGGCCAAAAAACTTGTAAGTTGTAACATTAAGTTCTTGGTCTGCTGCCTGGGATGTGAGCTGCTGGCATCTTGCCATTGTCATAACCATGGAATGAGACTGATGCTGGAAAATGAAACAGCTCAAGGCACGTTCCTAGCAGTCCCGCCCCGTTCGTGATTTGTACACAGCCCCCAGCCAGCGACAGACCTCACAGAGAGCATCCCACCAGAAAGACCAGGAAACTGATCCCCTTCCTCCTCTGTCCTTTTGGGAGGCAACTCAGCACCACAGCCCTGTGGTGCCTGGCTGGAGATGGAGCTCCCAGTCTGGAAGCCCGGCTGCCCCCAGGTCAGCCCCTCACCTGGTACTTGGCCAGCAGTTTGCTCCTCCACAGCGCGTGGGGGATGTCGTGGATGGAGAGGCGCAGGTTGTGGTAGCTGTCCTTGAAGGGCAGGGGCTTGGGCTCCTCCAGCAGGTACCCTCCCAGTGTCCTCTCCAGCTCCAGCACCTCCTGTGGGCAGCAGGACAGGCAGGGTGAGGCCCAGGAGAAGGACAGGGGCTGCTCCTCTGCCCAGCTCCACACCCAAAGCCAGGATGGGGAGAGAAGTTGCCAAGAAGAGCATGGAGAACAGCTTTTGCCACCCCAAAAGAACTTGCCAGCTCATCTCATACACCAGTCCCAGCAAAAACTTGAATTTCCTAATGGGAGCATCCATAAATGTCTCCTTGGAGAACACATTGAAGGGTGCCACTCTATCTGCTTTTAACACCATCCCTTCATCACACCAGCAGCTTTTAGGAGAAAAAGACAAGCCGGGAGCCAGAGCCCTGCCTACATCCCCACCTAGAGGCACCACATCAATCCCAACAGGATCCACTGGACAAGTCACAGGAAACCAAACAGGCACAGCACTGCTGGGTCCAGGCAGCCAAAGCATTGTGACTCCAGCTTCCCTCGATGCACTGAATGTTATCTATGCCACAAAACCCTTCCAGGGCAGGGAGAGACATGGATCCCTGCAGGATCTATAAAAAACCTGCCCATCAGAAGCCAAACCTCTCGTGTAATGCCTGCAGGAGGGGTCCCAGCAGAAGAGCTGCACAACACCCTCCCTGTTTCCCTGGCAGAGGACGAGGAAGGACAGGCAAAGCAGTAAACACCTCATTATTTCACTGTGGTCACTTTGCAGGCAGTTGCATCAGGTTGTCTGCTCCCCAGGGCCAGGCCATCCTGAGAGGCACCAGGCAGCATCCTGCTGCCAGCACAAACAGCTTTGGGAAGGGGATATTTACCTTCAGAGCATCTGGCGTGTCCTCCAAGCAGTAGACCTTGAGGCTGTACTCCAGGGAGGTGCAGACAGTGGGGGCAAAGATGGCCAGCTGGAGCCTCTTGATGGCTGACCTGGAGTAGGACTCGCCCACAAAGACATAGGTGCCAAGCTGGTCCAGCAAAATGTGGCAGGACTTGGCTTCCAGCTGGCAGTAGCAGGGAGTGTTGAGGGTCTCCTCATCCAGGGTCACAACTTCCTACAGAGACATCAGGACTGAGGCTCAGCCCATCATCCAAGGGTTTGTGCCTGCCCCCCAGGGTCCCCTGGCTGTAGGGCCTGGGTTGCCCCCTTACCTCCCAGTTTCCCTGGTGGGACTGTGTTTTCAGCTGGTAGATCCAGTCCGAGGCGCTGACGTCGGCGCAGTGGGGAATGGTCAGGACCACAGGGCGGCACAGGAGCAGGCCCGTGGGCCCGCAGGTCACTGCAGGGCTCAGCACTGTCTGAGTGCCCTCAGAGGGCAGCCTGGGGAGGGACAGGGGACACAGGTTGGACAGGGAACTCTGTGGTGGCCAGCGAGGAGTGGGTGGCCAGCGGGATGACTTACAGGGCGGTCTCAGCCTTGTTGAGCACCAGGTACATCTCGTAGAACTTCCCCTGGGGGATGGCCCCGTGGGGCACCAGCAGGCTCACCCCTGGAACAGCACACACAGGGGTTAGTCACAGGCAGTGAGGGGGAAACCACCCTCCACCCCAGCCAGAGAGCACAAGGAGAGCAGGGAGCCAGGGCAGCACGGAGACGAACACCTCCAGATCACAGAATCATGGAATGCTTTGGGTTGGAAGGGACCTTAAAGATCACCCAGTTTCAGCACCCTGGCCTTGGGCACGGACACCTTCCACCATGCCAGGCTGCTTCAAGCCTTGTCCATTTTGGCCTTTAACACTTCTGGGGATGGGGCAGCCACAGCTCCTCTGGGCTGTCCCATGGCTGCACTGCTTGCAGGGATGAGCCAGGCCAATGCTTTACCTTTACTAGGAAGGAAAATCCTCATCTTTGGGTGCCTAATATTTGGGTTTTTTTGCAAGGTGCCGGCCCTGGATCAATGGCAGGGAAAGACCGAGGCTGTAACCTCTAGCCTGAGATGTCTGTCTTGGGAATGGCTTTCTGCCTTCCTTCCCTGAGCCACGTTTGGGATAGCAAAAGGCTGCTCACGCAGGGACAAGATGATGGTTGAGCAGCCACACAATCCCAGCCAGCAGCTTACCTGTGCCTGGCACAGTGAGCCTTCCCCCCAGGTAGCCAAATGTGCCGCTGGCACTGTAGCCATGCTCCCGGGGCAGGCTGAGGAGGTGCTGGGAGCCCAGGCCTTTGCTCCTCACGTTGGCAAAGTGGCCGTCCCTGGCGGTGTCCCCCGGGTAGGTGCCGGTGGCGGGGACACCCCCCAGCAGGTCCGTGCTGTCGTGCAGCCCCGGCGAGGAGGAGGCGGTGGAGGAGTTGTAGACCTTGATCTTGAGGCTGGGCAGGGGGTCCAGCAGCGGGGAGTTGGTCATGGGGATCTTGTCGGAGGAGTCCTGCAGGGCGTACATGGGGCCGCGGTACACGCCCGCGCTGGCCGTCAGGTCCGGCTGCATGGACGGGTGCAGCAGCTGAGGGTTGTCTGTGAGACAGGAAACACAGGCGGGATGAAGACAGCAGTGGAAACAAGGGCATGGAGAATTTTATGTGGGAGACATCCCAGAATGGTTTGGGTTGGATGGGACCTTCTCATCTCATTCCAAACCCCTGCCGTGGGGCACCAGACCAAGCTGCCCTGATTCCTACCATCAACACTGACCACTTCCACAGAGCCTTCAGCCTCCAAAAATCAGTATATTCCCTCAGGAAGACAGGACTGGGAGCCCCCTAAGGATCCACCCTCTCCTGTGACTTTCTTTCTGCTAGACCTAAGGCTGGTGAGGACCTCCATGGCTCTTACCATGCCGGGACGTTTTGAAGTTGACCGGGTGGAACCCTCCGGTCAGAGCAGCTGAGGAGTCCGTGATGTCCGTGTCGAAATCCCGGCGTCTCCTCCGGTACACCACCACGCCCACGGCCATAAGGATCACGATGAAGACAAAAATGGCCACCACCAGCCCGGCGTACAGGGCCACATCGCCCGTGGCCTCCAGCACTGAGAAGGATTAAAGACATAGAGGTGAAAAAAGGGGCAGCAGGAAAGCATATCAAGACCCACCGTCGCTCCCCAGTCCCACCACTGACTCAGGCATGGGTGGAAGGACATGCCCTGGGCCTGCTGGAAAGGCTGGCAAGAGGATGGAAAGTGTTTTCTAAGAGCAGGAAGAGCAATGCCAGAGAATGAGATGGAGGTGAAGCCCTCAGACCTTTGGAGGACACCTGGCCAACAGCTCGTGCAAACTTCACCTGAGCACCAAGGGTCCCAGAAACATTGGGTTTGTGCAGTTCAGGTTCATGAAGCTGTGAGCAACCCTCACATCCTGACAGAGAAAACCCTGAGGAGCCCACAGGAATTTTGGAGTAGGCTTTAGTTGTTCCACCTTCCCACCCTTTCCTCGCCCAGCTGCCAGGGAATCCCTACCATGGATTCAACAGAACAAAACCACAGGAACAAACAAAAAAAAAATGGCCATGAAATGAGCACTTACGGTGGCTTTTGGGCTCGTTTAGAATTCTTTTATCTGTTAGGAAAAACAAAGTTAGAAAAGAAAAAGGTGAAGGTGATGATGGGGATGAGATGAAACAGAAAGTGGGAGGTGAGCCAGCCCAGGGTGAGGGGTGTGGGAGATCAACATCGTCCCCTGGGGCATTCCAAAACCCAGGTAGAAGCATGGTGACAAGGCCATCCCCATGCCCAGGCACTAAAGGGGACAGTGGTGCCACACAGCAGCAGGTGGCAGCATTGGCTGCCTTCAGCGTGCTACCACTCACAGGTAGCAGCACCATTACCATCATTATGGGTTTATTTCTCAAAAAAACACCTCCAGGACTCCAAGCAGTGACCCAGGGGAGGTGTTTTCATGGTGTGGCTGAGAAACCCCTCCTGCTGCCCTGCCTACCCACAACCAGCTTTATTCCAGCAGAGACCCCGAACCTACAGGGGTGGGACAGGGGCCTCAATGCCAGCAGCACATTTAGATCCCTCAAAGTCCCCAATATCTCTTCCTCCAGGTAAGAAATAACTCTGGAAGGGGCGAATCTGCTTGAAAACACCTTTTTAAAAGCACCACTTAAAACTCAGGTGGGCAGCAGCTGCTCCATCAGCTTGGAGGCACAGCCAACAAAGCGTGGCCAAATGCCAGAGCGCCACAGCCAGAGTGGCACCTCCTGTGGCACGTCCCCATGCCCGTGGCCACCCTCCTGGGTACTCACTGTGCAGGCAGAGGCCGTCGGTGCAGTTTTTGGAGTCCAGCAGCACCCCGCTGCAGTCCTTGCCGCCGTTGCGGGGCGCGGGGGCCGTGCACTCGCGGCTGCGCCAGTGGGTGCACTCGGTGCTGCACGCCGACCACTTGCTCCACTCCGTCCACGCGCCGTCCACTGCGGGCACCGGACAGGCGGCGTCAGTAAAACCTGCCCCCTTTGGGCAGTGTTATCCCAGTGCTCCTTAAGACCAGCTTGTTCCAACCCCCTGCCATTGGAAGCGGTATCTTCCACTATCCCAGGGTGCTCCAAGCCCCATCCAGCCTGGCCTTGGGCACTGCCAGGGATCCGGGGGCAGCCACAGCTTCTCTGGGCAACCTGTGCCAGGGCCTGCCCACTCTCACAAGGAAGAATTTCTTCCCAATATCCCATTTAATCCTGCCCTCTGTCTGTGTGAAGTCATTCTCTGTCCTGCTGCCACTCCAGGCCCTTGTAGATAATCTCTCTCCATGTTTATTGTAGGCTCCCTTGAGGTACTGGAAGACTGCAATTAGGTCACCTCAGAGCCTTCTCTGGTCCAGGCTGAACAATCCCAACAATCCCAACCACAGCCTGGTGTCATATGCATATTTTCTGAAAAATCCATTCACCCAGGATTTTTCTCCTAGGAAGCTGAGAAGCCTCAGAGAAAAAGGAAAATAATTTTATCTCATTTGCTTCTCTAGTGTTTTACTCCTTTGGAATGTGTTTATCCAAGAGGTGATTATTTCATTGGTTTCTGCTGTGAATTATTTTGACTTATTGGCCAATCAGGATCAAGCTGTGTCAGGGATCCAGAGAGAGTCACGAGTTTTTATTATTATCTTTTTAGCATTCTGTAAGTATCCTTTCTGTATTCTTTAGTATAGTATAGTTTAGTATGCTTTTATATAATATAGTATCATAAAATAATAAATTAACCTTCTAAGAACATGGAGATTCCGCCCTGCCACGAGGGTCCCCGCAAATACAATAGCCTAGGGTACAGGCAGCATGGGCATGGCAGTTTCTGAGCCCTGCTCACCTGGGCAGAGGCTGGTGCAGGTGATTTTCTGGAAGGGCTGCCCGTCGCAGAAGGAGCCGCCGTTGAGGGGCGCGGGGTTGGTGCAGGTGCGGGTGCGCTTCTGCCAGCCCCGGCCACAGCGGTTGTTGCACGGAGACCACTCGGACCAGGTGGACCAGCCACCATTCACTGCAGAGGAGATGGGCACAGTCAGCTCTGGAGCCCAATCCATCAGCTAAGCCTCGGGCTGGAGCTAAGCCTTGAGTTCTAACACCTTCTGTGACCCCCTGTTACAGCTCAGCCTCATGACGAGCAAACCACAAAACTCCCTCTTGTATCACCATCCTGTGCCCCAGATGCTCAAGACTGCTTTGGTCCTTTTTCTGCTTGGCAAATATTTTTGCATCTGGCCCTGAGGAGATCTTTGATTTCATAGCAAAGTTCAGCCAAATACAGCTTTCCAGCTGCTTTGAGAGTCAGAGCAATCCATCTGGATCCAACCTCCATCCACCCACCTACCCAGCCGAGAATGCTCAAAAATACTTCCACCCCTCCACCTCAAACCTCTCCTTACTGCCTGTGGAAGCCATTAGAGGCTCCTGTTCTGCAGGTTATCACCTAACACCATGCACTAAGTCACTCCTATGACTCCCAGGAAGTGCCCATAATCCCCCTTAGCCTGGGGACAGAGCCAGCACCAAAGGTCCCCTTCCCGGGCCGGTACCGTAGACGATGACAGCGGCCGTGGTGCTCCGGCGCTTGGCCACGATGTTCTTGGCCATGCAGGTGTAGTTGGCAGTGTCCAGCAGCCGGGCCTGCTTGATGATGAGGTTGTGATCGATGGTGATCAGGAAGTTGGTGTCCTGGCTGGGATCGATGACATCCTCGTTCCTCAGCCACTCCACCTGGCATGAAAGGAAGGGATGGGGATTAAGCCATCACCAAGACCAAAGATGTCCTCAGCACTTTAACTACTGACTGGGCAACCTTGCCTCTGACTGGATTTATTTCTCCTGAAAACTGGGCCAAACCAGGTCTGACTGGGGCACGTTACTGGTGTTTTGGCCAAGGATGGGACACTGTGGCTCCCTCCAACACACAGCTCCCAGCAGCTGACGGAGCTGTGGGTAAGGAAAGCTCCACTACCATGGTAGGAAAACCCATCCGGACTGATTTTCCCAGCCCTCAGCTCCCACTGGTGACTGCTCCCATCCAGACAACTCCCTGGGCACCTCCTTGTCAGATCTTCCCTCTGAGACACCTCAGGAAGCGTGGGAGAAGTGTGCTGAGAGGCTGCTGCCCAAAAACCATTCTGCTGAACGAGAGCTGACAGGAGATCATCTGGGATGGGATGGGGTGGGATGGGACAGGGTGGGACAGGGTGGGATGGGACACCCCACCATGCATTCCTTCAGGAGCCACTCACCTCGGCCTGTGGGACCCCCTCGGGCGGGCGGCACTGCAGCAGCACCTCGTGCTCCAGCGGGACCTCCTTGCCCAGCGGCTCCTGATCAAAGTTCTTCCGTAGGTCTGGGAGGGGAAGGAGAAGCCAGGGGTTAGCAGCCTGCAGCAGGAACAGGGCAGCCTCCAAAACTTTGGTGAGCACCTCAGCACCAAGCACCTTCAAGTCAGGAAGCCACTCTGGCATAGACAGCCAGGGCAAAACGTGCCCTGGGAGGAAGGAGCTGAAGAATCATATTTTCCAGGATGGATTTGGGGCAGCACATGGTGGATGATACATTTCCTCCTTCATGTGCTTGCAAGCTTGTACCCCGTCCTGTCCTTTCCTTTTGGGGCTAAGCTCAGCTTATCCACTGTTTCTTCATCCATCCCAGCAGAGCCCCTCAGGATGTGGGGGACACAGCAGTGCCCTGCTCCAGAGCCTGGGAAGGAACAGGAGCATCACTAGATGGTGCTGCAATCCTCTGCTACAGCTCCCAGACCTCTCCATGTGGCTCCTGAACCCTCTGCTCCAAAAAACACACGGAAGTGTCCAAGGCCAGGCTCGAGGGGGTTTGGAGCAAGCTGGTCTAGAGGAGGGTGTCACTCCCCATGGCATGGGGTTGGAATGAGGTCAGTTTTAAGGTCCCTTCCAACCCAAAACTTTCTGTGATTCTATGGTTCTCTGAGTCTGTGGTTTTCCCAGCATAACCCTTCAGCAGCATAGCTGATCCACCACCCTGTTTTGGATAATATGTTGGATTATTACCCCTCTAATAGCCAAATCCATTTGGGACCAGGCAAGCCTGGCTGTCCCCCTGCAGCTCCGCCATCTCATCTGCTAATTGAGCAAATTAAGGCAGGCCCAGCCTGACTAACTCGCCTTTGAGCAGGCTGACACCCCCAAGAGCAGCTCAGGGCAGTGACATGTGACAGCAGGACTCAGAGGATGTGGAGTCGCTGAGCGTGCAAGGTGCCATCCGTTGGGTCATTAAGGATAATAAAACCCTGGGAAGCGCTGAGCACGCTGCTGGGCACTGCGGTGTTAACCCTGGCAGTGCCACTGCCCCTCAGAAACAAAGCTACAGCTGGGGTGGAGAGAGAAAACCAGGGTCATCCGGCAGGGATGGGTCATCCCAAACTCATCAGAAAGTGGAGAAGGACATTTGGAGATGGGAGTGATGCCTTGTGAAGGCTGACCTAGACAGAGTTAAAGAATAAAATAGAGATTTATTAAAGGGCCTCCATGGATCCTCCTTCTGCAGCACAAGAGCCCAGCCATGGCTACATCCAAGATGAACCAAAATGGTCACAAAAATGAATGCCTGGTCACAGGGTCTCTCACTTTTATAAGTTCTGCTCCATTTGCATATTGGAGTTAATTGTCCAATTCCAGCTTTAGCCCATGCAGTCCCATCCTGCTTGTTTTTCTCTCTCCAGCCCACATTGTTTGTGCTCTTGGGCCTGAGATCTGGATCATTTGTCCTTGGTGCCCAGCTGGAGCAGGAATTGTTTTTTATCCCTGCTCTGTGCAGAGAGCTCACCATCCCCTGATACGAAGCCCAGACCCACACACTACAGCAGCACAGAATGTGAAGAACATAAAAGCCAACCCCTGAGGCGTCAGTGCCAGCACTTACAGGCGATGCGGACGTAGGCGCGGCGGCTCTTGGTGGTGCCCGCCGAGCTCCAGGCCACGCACTGGCACCAGTAATCCTCCAGGCCGAACAGCTCCTCCACCTGCTGCCGGGACACCTCGATCTGCACCTCCCGCACCAGCAGCCCTGCAGGGGGACAGAGGCACGGCATCCCATGGGCAGGAGCAGCCAGGAGCAGGGAAAGTGAGGCAGCACCCAAGAGGGTGCATGTGCAAAGCTGGAGGACAGAGGGTTGGAGGCTTCTCCTCTGGGGCTGGCACCTCACGAATCAGGGAGACTGTTCCCTCTCCGAAGGATGGTTTGGGGATGAAGCCAGGGCTATGGAAATGCCTCTTTTTTCCCTGCTGTCCAGCTGAGCAGGACCAGAACCTCTTCACCATTTCTCAAGGCAACACCGTCCTCCACCAGCTCTCTCCCACATCTTCCCAATATCCCAGCATCCAACACCCTTGCCCAGACCCCTTCCGACCCACCACGGTTTGAAGGATGCTTCCCCCAGGCTTTGTTGTGGGGAGAAACCATCTCTGTCTGTGCCACTCAAATACAAATATAACAAGACAAACAAAACCTTAAAGAAATCAGCCTGGCCATGGCAGGGACAAAGGCGACACCACCACAACCAGGACACGGTCCCCTGGACTGCAGGAGCACCAATGATCATCACCAAGGGCAGCAGGGACTTGGGCCTTACTTTTCCTTATTTTAAGCAATACCTGCCCATTTTTTTTTTCAGTTTCTATTTTAAAAAGGCCTCAATTTCACAGTGATCGAGAGCCACACACTCCCCAGCTGTAATTTTGTTACAGCTCCCTCCCAGTGCTGTGAGGAGCAATTACTGTCTCCCTGCCACCTTCCTGCAGAAGAGCTGACAAGGAAATACAATTTACTTTGTCACTATTCAGGGGGGGGAAAAAAGAAAAGAACCACAAGAAGAAAACCCCAAAAGCAAAGGTATTTGGGCCAAGCACTTCTGGGATTTTAAAAGGACTCAGAATGCAGACATGGCTCCAATCCATATTGTCTATCTGGGAAGCTCTGGTGGGATGATGGAAAGGTGGGAAGCATCCTGCAAACGCCCTACCTCTGTCCCCAAAACTGAAGACCGAGCTCGTGGCACACAGGAGTCACTTCCTAAAGGCTTCCAGGCACCCAAACAGAGCTGGTCTCCCCGCCCAGCCCTCCTCACCCAGCTGAATTATCCTCTCTGACTTGGCCTATTTTTGCTTTCTTCCGCATGAAATGTTTTGGATCAGACGCAGTCAGAGCATTACTGAGCCAGGCTCATTCAAGACACGTCATCTTAAAAGTTCCTTTTTTTTTTTTTTCCCCTTCTTCTTAAAGGTCCCTTTTTCCAAGCTTTTAACCAAGGACACTTAAAAACCAACCATGTTAACCCGTGCCTTTGTGCCTGGCTCTCCTCCGTGCCCTTTCCGGCAGCTTTCCCAAACAACACCGGGCACTGCAAATGCAGATTTTTTTACCACCTTAAACCACTTTGGTTCCAGCTCCCTTTTCTTTAGGGAGGCTGCCAGGCAGAGATGCCCACACCGGCAGCTTTACCATGCACCACATCACCTGCAGGCACTGTTGGTTCACTCCCTGATAGCAGCAATGCCATCTTTGAAGCCTGGATGAAGGAGGTGTGTGTTGCTTCCTCCCCAGACTGCAGGCATGCAGCAGACTGGAATCTAAGAGGGAGATGCTGGACCAAAGCAAGTGAGCTCCCACAGCAACAGGCTGCCCAGACGGATGCCCCATCCCTGGGAGTGTTCCAGGCCAGGCTGGACAGGGTTTGGAATAACCTGGGCTAGTGGAGAGTGTCCTTGCCCACGGCAGGGGGTTGGACTAGAACCTCTTTAAGGTCTCTTGCAACACAAACCATTCCATGAGTCTATGAAATAAAAAGTGTTTCTTTCCACACTGCACATCACTAAGGCATGAGACCCCCTCCTACAGGATGCTCCAGAGACATGAGTCCTAACAGCAATTAGACAAATTAACAAGGGGGGGATTCCACCCAGGGCTGGACCACACTGCTCAGATGTTGCCACCAGAGCTGGGAGTACCTGATGGTGAGTGGTGGAAAACTGGGAGGGTGACAGGGCAGCTCCATTGCTCCCTCCTTGTCCTGGTTCATGATCTTCCCCTAAGCATCCTCCACTGCCATGTGCGGGGCACACAGACCTCTGGCTCCACCCAGTGTGGCCAGATGTTATAAATAAATTAAAAACCCCTTGGCAAAGGCTCCTCGGTCACTGACCAGCAGTGACTCTGCCTCACAGTGGTGAGAGTTTCAAATCTGGCCTCTGCAAGAGCTGGGAGGTAGAGAAGCACCCAGAAAGAGAGAAACAGAGTGTCCCCTGCTCCTGTCAGCCTGCAGAGAAGCAAAGGGACAGCCTGCCTGGGCATCTCTGACTATTTTTCCTCTAGAGGAAAAACACCCCATGAATGGCTAAAGCAGCCTTAGGAGAAAAGGCTCAAAAAGCTGCAAAGGAAAGAAAGGATCTTCCCTTTCCAGAGCAGGTTCAGGGATGCACCCGAGCACAGACTGGCTCGTGGCTACTGCAGGGTGGAGAGCAAGAGATACCAGGGAAGGGCAAGGGTAGGAAATATCACAGGGACAAGAGCAGATCCTGTCAAAATACTGGTGGCTCCTCCAGGCTGGTGAAGTCTCTCCTCTAAGCCCAGCCTGCCTTCCAAGGCCAGCACCACTGCAGTTCAAAAGGCTGCCTTGATTTAAAGCCCTCAGGATGCCACACGTGCAGGGATTAGCCGAGGGCAGATCTTACAGGGGAAAGGTGACTCTTTTCCTCCACTCCTAATCAGCCACAGGTACCAAAACTGGTGCAGAAAAGGCGGGTGCTGAGCTAAAGCATCCCAATTTTAGCAAATCTACTTGATTACATGATCTATCCAACCCCACACATCTTGTTTTCATGCCAGGATGTTTCAAGGCATGGACTGAGCAGCTCTGCAGAGCCCAATCCCATGGAGTAAGACCCCCCCCTAAAATGCCTAAACCACGTTCTCACCCCGTTCCAGGCAGCCAGAGGCTGATTTATCCTCTGAGGCAGAAAAGAGCTCATTTGCCATCAACAGGCATTTCAAATCCTACCTGCAATTGCTCTCATTACCCATTAAACACTTAATCCCTCTGCGAACCTGCATAAGCTGCCAGCCTTTGCCACCCCTCCTGGCAATGACTCCTACATGTTGATTAGGCATTTTGTAGAAAAGCAGTCTTTTTTTTTTTTTTTTTTATCGGATTTACACATGCTGCCTTCAAAATCCCTTGTAAGAACCCCAAGTCCTGCACAGGGGTAAAAGTGAAATCAGGCAGGGTGACTTCCCCAAGCCTCTGGGGGGTGTGGTGACCACAGCACCATCATGGTGTGTGGTGGTAGGTTCCCAGTCAGGTAATGATTAGTATTGACTTTAGTATCCAGAAGGCATTAAAAAACACTTTACCATTAGAAATCTACAGTTCTTATAGAAACAATGGTGCATCTGATTGGTCTTAAAGTCAAAACCTCTCACACACTATTGGTGAGCTATCAATAGCACACTCTAGCAAACCCTATCTATAAACAATGGGTACAGAGAGAGAGATAATAATTGTTTGAATTCTTTTCCTCTAAGTTTCCCACAGTGTGGCAGTCATATTTTCTGAAAATCCCTTGGCCCAGGATCTTCTCCTAGGAAGCTGAGAAACCTCAGAGAAAAAGGAAGACAAATTCTTATCTCATTTGCTTCTCCTGTGTTTTGCTCACATATGGAATGTGTTTGGAGACTGTTTCCCCACAGGTGACTGTTTCATTGGTTTCTGCTGTGAATTGTTTTGACTCATTGACCAATCAGTGCCAAGCTGTGTCAAGGCTCTGGAAAGAGTCACAAGTTTTTATTATTATCTTTTTAGCCTTCTGTAAGTATCCTTTCTGCATTCTTTAGTATAGTTTAGTATAGTATTCTTTAATATAACATAGTATCATAAAATAATAAATTGGCCTTCTGAGAACATGGAGTCAGATTCATCATTCCTGTCTGCCATGGGGGCACAGCTACCACAGCTTCTCCACAGCTTCCCAGGATTTTTCTGGGAAAGTCTGTGCCCGCTCTCTGCTGCCACAATGGTGCTTTCACCCACGGCCTGCCTGGAGGAGAGCCACCAACACCCTGGATGCGGCAAGAGGGAAAAGGGCTTGGAAAGCAGCGGGAGAAGGAGGGCTTTGCTCACCGGTGACCTCGTCCAGGCTCTCCTTGGTGACGTGGTCGTTCTGGTTGACCCACTCGCCGTTGCACTTGAAGTAGATCTGCGTGGCGGGGTTGGCGCGGCACACCAGCTCCACGGGCTTGTTCTTGACGATGTAGGCGTCCTGCGGCTCCAGCAGGAAGTGCGGCAGCGTCTCGGCCGGCGCCGACGGGAACGAGTCGGGCAGCACGTCGCTGTACTCCAGCCCTGCCAGGACACCCAGAGGCTCAGCAGCTGCCCCACGTCCCCCTGCTCCCTCCCTGCCCCGCACACAGCTGGGCAACAGCAGCTGAGGATGGGTGGAAAAGCAAAAACAGGCAAAACCAGCGAAGAAGAAGCTGACAAAGCCACGGGACACAGTCTTAAGCTGCGCCAAGGGATATAGGTTGGATATTAGGAAAGTTTTTTACAGAAAGGGTGATAAAGTACTGGAATGGTCTGCCAGGGGAGGTGGTGGAGTCACCATCCCTGGATGGGTTTAAAAAAAGCATGAGTGTGGCTCTGGGTGCCAGGGTTTAGCTGAGGTGTCAGGGCTGGACTGGACTCTGTGATCTTGGAGGTCTCTTCCAACCCAGTGATTCTGTGAAAGCAAACCAGAGCTGTGGGATCAATCCCCTTTCACCTGGGTACTGGGCCCCCATCCACACCCCGAGCCCAAACCTGGGTGATCTCACTAGGGGACACTGCAAGGGGAAAAGCAAAACAAACCCAGGTCTATGGATAGTGATGGGGACACAGAGAGGCTCCAAAGGGGCTGGTGTCCCCCACCCCATGCCTCCTCCTCACAGCCCTGAGGAATGTATGGGAATGCTCTGAACAAAATGCTGGCAGGGCATTTTGGGAATGCTGACCATATCCCCAGGACAAATCTCAGCCATCCACACCTTCACTGGAGCTGCATTTGGGATCTCACCCCCTGCCAACACCTGGATTTCAGCATCACCCAAGAGGTGAGCCATGGCTTCCAGCCCGGCACCTCCAGAGAACGTCACCTAAAGGTACCACCAGGATTCCCAGTAGCCCAGAAAATGGGGGGCTGTGTCCTGGGGAGCTCGATATTCCTGCTTATTTGCTTTCAAAAGCCATCTAAATGCAAAAACAACTGGAGGTTGTGTCTGCTGAGGCCAGGCCAAGAAAAATCTTGAAAAGCGGTGAGCAGCTCAGTGCTCACACAGGAATGTTATCCCTTAGGAGTGGGAGCTCCAGGGTGCCTCATTCCCAGCAGCAGCTTGGCAAGATGCTCTGACTGAAGCTGAGCATCATCTGCAGGAGACCTGTTTCCAGCCCATTAAGATCAACCCCAAATATCACAGGAGTAATAAAAACCCCCACACAGGTGCACAGGGATGCTGCTGCTTAACCTGTTGTTCCTGGGAATCTCACTAGCAGTCAGGTCACATCTCGAGGCTTTTCTTTACACTCAAAGCAGTTATGAGCTTTTCCTCCTCCTCTCTTCCCCCAGCCAGAGCTGTGATTCTCAACTCCAGGCACTGCAGCGTGCAGGAAAACAGTAAATATCCCCAGCCCCACGATAACATCTCCAGAGCTGGCAGGGAGAAGAAAGGAGCCCACTCCCTTCATCACCCTTGGCAAGAAGCGGCGCTGCACGGAGAGAATCAGAACCCCAAGCTGTGAGGAGGAGGAGGAAGAGAAAAAAAATATAATCAGATGCATCAAGAAAACAAGATGACCAGGCTTCTTCCTGAGCAAAAATCAGTGAGGGGAAAAAAAAAAAAAAATAGCACGAGGTCAGTCGTTTAAAATCCATTTAGGAAAATTGACTTTCCATTTCCATTTAACACAGCACTAAGGGAGAGCGGTAGGACATTTGTCATAATCCATTAACTGCTCTTTTGGAAACAATGAATTAAACTCCGGGCTAATTTCTCTCTCTCTCTGCCTGGCTCTTCCCCACCTCTCTGCTGCCGGTTATTTCCTCCCCGTCTCATTTGCAGACCTGTAATTTTCCCAGGCCCCGTGGCAGGCAGGGAGACAGGGAATGCCAAGGTGTGTGACCTCCACCCTGAACAATCCCACACTGCTCCCTGTGATCACCTCAGGCCACTGCTGCTGCTGCTCCCCTCTCCTGCTGAGCAGCCTTTCACCTGCCACAGCAGCAAATATCCTTTTTTTAATTTGCTAATCAATTTTTTCATCCACTGGGTTGTTGTTCTGTTGGTTGTGTGTTGTTTTTTTGGTTAATTTCAAAAACCGCTTCGATGCCACGGCTCTAAATTCCCTGGCAAAGGGGGCTGGCAGGAGATAATCGAACTGGCAACAGAGGCAGCCAACAAAACTTCACTCACGGCCTTGTGTGCAAACCTCCCTGATACGATGCTCCCTGCATCCCTGTGGCAAAGTCAGACCCGGGCTTGGCAGCTGGGAATGGGCACAGGTATCCCCAGGAGCCAGCTTTTGGAAGGATCTTGCCCTATGGAGGTGACACCCCAAAGTGCTCATGGCCCTGATCCAAATCCACAGGCCAGGAGGAGAAATTCTTCTCCAACAGCCAGCACCAAGGATATGTTTTCTCCCACCTTATCACCACTTTGGTGATGCTGAACAAGCCTTTAGGTCATCCAAGAGGAGCTGGGAGGGGATGAGTCATGGCCGGATGGGGATGAAAATGCCGGATTTGTGACTCACCGGGATCATCTGCACGGGAAGGGTGAAGGCTGCAGTGGAGCCACTTGGGCCCCCAGAACAATGCTTGGGACTGAGACATCCCTGGTGGTACAAAAATCCCATCCAGACCCTGCTCCAAGAGGGGCTCTGCCCAAGTAAGAACTTCAAGGTTCTTCTCCATGTGGACACAGTGATTTTGGGGACAAGGATGGGGGAATAGTACGGTGTCACCAGCCAAATCCAACATCTGCTTTTGGTGGCTACAAAAACCTTCTAGGTTTAAGGTTTGAACCCAAAACACCTGAACCTTTTAAGCCAGGAGCATGTTGGAAAGGTTAAAATCCTGCAAACTCACGACAGCTGAGAGATCTTTTGCTTCTCTCCAGGAAAGATCTGGGGCCAAAAAAGCAGCTCTAACAGGAGACAGGGGAAAAGGATGATGGTTTTTTCATGGCAGACTCACAACTGGGGCCACGCCATGGAGCCCCAAGCCCACAGATTCCCCAGACTCATGGATGGGAGCAAATCAAGGGGGAGAGTGATTTTTCCATTCAGAAATTAGCTGGGGAAAAAGCATTTGCAGCTGGGCAGGGCGTTTTCCTCCAGCATGAAATGCTCACTGCTATTTAAACACACTGGGGAAGAATTAAGGCATAGGAACAACGGGGACTTTGGATGAGAAAAGGGAGGAGAACCATGCTGGGCACATTTATCACAAGCCATCAAGCCAGCCTTTCATCCCCGCTGCCGACGCCCGGCCACCCGCTGCATGGGAAACCTCTCGTTCTGCCGACACTCACGGGGGGCCCCCCAAAAAATCCACACACAGTCACTGGGGGGAGGAACACGCTGCTTGTGCAGAGGCAACTGCTGCTGCTGCTGTGTGCTCTGACTGCCCAGCAACAACTGCAAAACACCCCCCTAGAAAAAGGCACTTTCCCGGTGGTGCAACTCCATCACCTCCAGAAGCCACCGCGGCTCCGGTGCCACCCCAGGTGACACTGTGGCCCAGTGACCTCAGGAGCAGCAGCCACTGGAGATGCTTTTGCATGGGAAAGCAGGAAAGGAGCCCTGCACAGCCGGGATTTCCAGATCTGCAATCACACCAGCAATAAAACTCCCAGCAGTGACAAACTAATAAATATTTGAGAGCGCGCTCCGCTGCCTGTAATCATCTCCCTGGCAGACGTCTGCAGGGGGTTCCCATCTGCTGGCTTCCCTCCTTCCTGCTGGAGGTGGGTGCCTGCTTCCCAGATCTCTTCTGGGGGGTTTTTTTGGAAGTCCCAGGCTGTCACCATCCCACAATCTCACACGACTTGGGGCACGGTGTTCCGGAATGTCTGCAGCTCTCTGTGGGCAGGGAGAGACAAAGAGGGGACAGCTCCCAGCTCAACCCACGGGACCAAATCCTGAAGCCTTGGGGATGAGTGTAGTAGGAGCAACGAGAGGAAAAGGGAGGAGGGGAACAGGCACTTCTTTTCCTCTCCCTATCCCTCATCACACATTTTAATCTGCTGGGGCTGAGCTGGATTATCCGCAGCATCTGTTCCCTGGGGGGTGATTTGCAGATGTTTGCCGCCAGCCTTTGCAACTTTGTCAAGACCCACGACCCCAAACCCACCTCACCCCCCAAAGGGAGCAGCACCAGGGCAGGATCCAGCCTTAACCCCCCCTCCATCACCCCAAACATGCGGCACCGGGGATGGCAAACCCAGGAAGCAACTCCCCCTGCAGCAACGGCCAAGTAAACCTCCCCAGGAAAGCGTTAAAATCCTCTCTCCTGCAATTGTTATCCCTCCAAATATTTGGAAGATTACAGGAGCATTAGTGGCTGCCCATCACCCACGGCCACCTCCGGTCCCAGGCAGGCAGGGATGCGATGTAAGGATGCAGGGATTAGGCTGGGATGCCTGGGTTTCTCCAGCTAAATCTCGGCGGCTGTGGATGCTTAACCCCTTCTGCCTCCACCTCCCCACGTCCCTGCCTGCCTCAGGGCAGGCGCTGGCTCCTGGGAAGGCCTGGCAGGGAAGAGTTAAACCTGCCAGGTGGGTTAAAATCCTCCTGGAGAAATGAAAAAATATATGACAGCTTATCTGCAGCACCACAGGAGGAGTCATCTGCCTTTCCAATCCCCCTTCCAATCTCCCAGCAGGGATGGGAATGGTTCTGGTTCCTGAGAAAGAGATGGAGGAGATGCTCCAGCCACTTGCTTGGCTCCAGGAGGTGTCTGGAAGGCTGGAGAAGGGCTGTCCCCCCACCCCAAATCCCCCCTCCTATTGCCTCCAGGGAGAATGTATGAACAGGCTCATTAAGAGATTAGTGCTGTTGCCATTTCAACTCCAGCAAATTTTGACACTGGAGCCATGGCATGGCTCCCTGCCATTCCCTGCCTGACTGAGGGCATCCCTGCTGCCAGCCCTGGAGGGACACAAAGGCATCCCACCACATTCCAGCCCACCCCTGAGCTCAGGGGGAACTGGCATCACCAGTCCAGGCCCGTCCTATTCCCATGGGCTTCCCATCACAGGCTGCCACTGGGACAACTTTGTGTCCAGTGATAACACACTTTCCATCCTAAAAGC